ATAGCATCCCTAGCGGTCTCAGCAAGCGCATGTGGGCAGGTTCTCTTGTGCTTCAGCCAGGGCGGGATGTCAGGCGTCGAAGGTGGAGGCGCTGAGGAAAAGAGGGGATCCGCTTCCCTGCTTCCATCACTTGATCTATGCCCACCAGTGCGGAGAGGGACGGGGGGAGCAGGAGGGCGGGGGGGGGGCACCCGGCATGAAAGTCCTGGGTTGACTTGGCATCGGAGCCTGAAAGGGCGAGGGAGGCAGGGCGGCCTCCCTACCCGCTCCGTGTCCGGCAACTGCGCAAGACCATGAAAGAGGAACCGCGCTGGCAGGCGGTGCACACACAGGTGCAGCTGGCACACGACCCGTAAGGGCACTGCGATGCGGCATGTTGCCTATGCCTGGCCGCCCTGTATGCAAGAGAAAACAGCGAACTGTGGCTTGCTGCGCAAAGCATATCGAATTGCTGTCCCGCAAAAAGGCAGAGCATTCTAGCCGCAGGAGGTGCTGCACCTCCCTTGGGAAGCAGTGGCTCCAGCCCGTTGCATCCGCCTCAGTGGGTAGGATAATTCCTGCTTGCATGGGCTTGGTCATCGCTATATCGCTAGTCCCTGCAGTGGCAAGCGCGGTAAGTTGGCCCCGCTTAGCAACAAAGACATGAAGTACATGCGACCCGGCTTGCAGCGCATAATGCTGACACGCGTAGGCATCCATGGCTGCGATCACCGAAAACTGCAGAATCCGATGCTACGGTAAGCGAGATGAAAACAAACTAACAGATACACAGGCGCAAATCACCCTAGGGCACTGAAAGCGACAAAGTCACAGTACGGCTAATATCAACAGGAGAAACCATTGACATGTCTGCAAGCAAACCATCAATGCCCCCCTCTTACTTTGAGCCCGCGCAAGGTTCAAGTAAGCACCAAGCCAGTAATCCCAAGGTGCTTGCATACCTTAGCGGCCGCCTGTTTGTGGCTGCAATGCAGGTGCAGACAAGCGCAAATCAATGACATCCAAAAGGGAGAAAGAAAGGGGGCCTCTGCCTTGCCCTTGCAACTACTCCGGGAGCTCAATATGATCAGCCAGCATCCAATCAGGGTCGCTCAGCAGCCGGGGCCACACTACGTGCTCCGGGTCCTTGCCGATGACAACCTGCCGGACCGTAAGGCCAGGAGCCCATGAGTACTGTGTGCGGTTGTAGCCTTTGAACACCGTGAAACGCGAGTCTTCTGATAGGCATTCGACAACTGGGGGTACCCGGGTATTGCCTCGCACCGAGTGGCCATGCCGCAGATTGCGCTGGAAGACTTCCACGTCCTGGCGTCCGCCATAGATCAGCACTTGCGTGGCTGCGGTGGTCGGAGCAGGCAGAGGGTAGGGTAGACGGATGGGGCCCATACACACACATGCCTGGAATCCCGGCTGGGTTCCTGAGATTGCAATCTGGTATACGATGGTCCCACCAGAGCCCAAGCCAATAACATACGTCGGCAGGGCCTGATCGAGAGGTGGGTACAATTCACCCGTGTCACTATCGCTACGCGCTGAGTTCTAGGGAAGACGGACGCTGAAGTCACATAACGCCTGCGTGAAGCCCAAGCACCAATGATGCTGCCCCAACGCCTGCAAACCGCGGCCACTGTCACCGCCTCGTACAAGGACGGTAGGGCAAACCTCGTACTGCTCAACTCCAGGTGCCACGTGAGGGAGGCGAGCATAGCGACAGCCCCACGTAGACTGATGTTGTCGCCATAGAGACACCTGTTCAGGCTCCGAGAGGCCCTCGCGCGGTTCAATTATGCACCACAAACTCAGGCAAACGGTACAGACATCAAAGAGAATGCAACGCAGTGCATCCACAGGACATTCATGAAGGTGCCTGTTGCCGTGCACTACAGAACGCCTGTTAGCTGCGGTTGTGCGTCCTGGGGGCCTGACAAGCACCAAGAGTGGGACGAGGCGCTCCACATGAAGAGAGGGGCTGGTTCCCTCGGCCATACAGCCTATGACTGCCGAGACGCGGGCGACAAACTACCCCGCAACCCACAATTCAGACTTGAGCCCCTACATGCCGGCACATTGCAACGTTACCACAGCACCATCCCAAGTTGCAGATTACCGAGAAAAGCGCGGCAAGAATACCATGATGCGGCTAAAATTGCTACGAAGCCTTGCTCATCGCAGAGCACAAATGCCCGATTCTCAAGGTATCCGCTCCTTTGTCGCATGAGCTGTACAATCAGCACTTGCAACATCAATACAGGCAACATGGGATCGATCGTCAGATCGAGAGGAAGGGGACTATCCGGCGGGTTGACAACACACAACTGCCTATTGCAGTAGGACCCCACCAGGACAGGATGTGCCTCTACCATTTGCTCAATGGAGGGAAAGGAGACTGCGACAAACACTGTTCCAACTGGCCAATCAATCAGGAAACTGAGCAGAGGGACAGCAAAAGTCATCCCTTGTACAATCACCTGAACCTGTAACTAGATTGAGATCCAGTGGAAATGCTGTCGCACCCAAGATTAGCGGGAAAAGCTCGGCACCCAGCTGGGTGGAGTCAATGAGGTACCATTCCCCTTGGGTATAAGGCGAGCAGCACATAGAGTACTTGAGCATGCAGCCGAATTCCAGCCCTGCCTCGGCCAAGACAAACGTAGCAACTTGCCCCGCGAATGTGCAAGCAGCACCGAGACCTTGTTCCTGAAACGCACATGCCATTTGCGTGGTAAACTGGAATTCTTGTATTCGAGGCGCCCCAGTACCATTGTTTGCTGGTAGGGGCCCAACAGGGCGCCCTATTACACCCGGCCAGAATCCATGGTGCGTAGCTCTGGCGAGTAACGTGGGGGGTGGCTGTTGCAAGGTATGGGATGGCGCACGGAGACGAAAGAGTAGTAAATCGGGCAGCGAGCTCAGCCTGAGGAAGAAGACCTCATAGCTGCACATTGAGGTGATCGCAATTCTACAGGAGGCATGCAGTGTGACCGGGAGCGCTATAATGCAGGGCCCACCAAGGTGGCTGGCAAGCAAGTTGCGCCAACTTGGGCAGACAGAGCCCAGAGTGCGCAACGTCTGCAGCCCCCATTGTTGCCACACGAGGCAGCCATGCCCCTCAATCTCACGCAGCTGGAGGGCCAACCCTTTTTGCCAACAGCGAGTTATGAGCTGGAATGCAATTGCCACCATTTGCGCAGAGGCAGCGTCGGTACCCAGGTGCGCGCTAATTGAGATCATCCCTGCAAGCTGAAGGATGTGGAAAGCAATGCCGGAATCCATTGTGCCAAAACAGTTCTCATACGAGAACAGGCCAGGCTGTCCTGCAGTGGGAGACCCGAGGACCTTTCTAAGCTGTTCTGGTGCCAAGTCAAGGCAGAGAGCCATTGCGCCTGTTGAAATCGTCACAAAGTTTCCCTGGTAGCTTGTGAGCAAAAGGCGAGGCATGCAAGGGGCCACTCATCAAGTAGCCAACGGGGAGGGACAAGTACAACCATTGCAACAAAAGGGGGCAACAGAAAAGTCAATAGGAGACGGAGGAGTACGCACAAAGGCACAGGTACCAAATATAGGCAATAAAGGCCCACTCTGCACAGATCGCGCAGGGGGCATCCACACCCTCACCCAGTGGACGCATGGCACATAGCTCCACTGTCTGCGTACAGATGGCCGAAGTGAGGTGGGCCTAGCCAGGGGCGATTAAAGCCAAAGACGTAACTCCGATTAGATTAAGCGCGGGAGTGACCAAACCAAGATCACCACGGCCAAGTAAAGTGGCTTGGGAATTGTTCGCGCTCGCACAGTTCACGTGCAATGGTTGTAGCTCTAGGAGAAATTACCTGGAGCAGGACATCAACCCTCCTCCATCCATTTTTATGCCAAACCATTGCTCCAATTAGCCGCGCGGACCACTTGGGGGTCAGGTTGAAGTGCTCGGAAAGCGATTGTGCTAACGCTCGTTCTCCCACGCAAGAGATGGCACGGAGATTGCAGTCACTTATTTTCTTCCGGCTTCCGTCTGCTCACGCGGGGTTGTGTAGCAACATCCAACCGTCCAATGACCTCAATTAGGGTCCAAGCTAACAGAAGCTCCTTTTCGCCCAAGCCATCGATAATTTCCCTGATACCACCGGGATTACCACAGGCAACGCTTTGGTAGAGGCGATGCTTGTGGGAAAGGGAATAAGCTTCTCCCGAATGGCTTTCCCCCAAAAGGGCAAACAATATCATGCCCGCTGTAGCAGGGAAGATCGTGAGTTCAAAGGCAGTTGAGCAGGTGTGAGCGCCAATGACTTCCTGGTAGCGCCAAGAGGCAGCGTCTAGCAGCAAGCATTGTCAGTTGTGCCCGGGCATTCACAACTTCCTTAACAGCAACATAAGTAGCAAAAAAGGGGTGTGGGCGGGCGCTCACTACTGATAGAAAACAACAGCTTGCGCAGCGAATAGGGGCATTTACCACAACTGCCTACGCGGAGCAGCAATAACATCCACTCTTTTCCGTTTGCTTTCCCTTTGCTTTTCAACTTCCAGAATATCCAGAACCTCCAAGCCAATTCGCTTGCTTTTCCTTTGAGTAATGGACTTTGGAAGCTTCGGAAATGTCGGGTTGTGACAGGCAATGTTTGCAGCATTTAACGCATCAACTGCTGCCAAAATTTCAAGTTCAGTGGTAACCGCAAAAACTTCATTTAGGCCTTTGTACTCCTGATTTGGGGTGACTTGGGGAAAGAAGTGCTGTTCTATTTGGATAAGTTGGACAAGCGCTTCAGTAGCTTCTTCAAGGAAAGGTGTGACCGCATCCTTGCTTTTAATGTACACCCCATTGTGCACCCAGAGCACAGCCCATCTGTCTGATGCCATTCAATGGCTGGAAGACTCCGCATAATTGGCGCTAAGGTGAGGTGGTACATCCACAAGATTTGATGAAGAGTTCAACAAGTGGATGAAGCCACCCATCCCGGAATTGTGACAGCATTCTGTCTTCGGTCAGCTTTTTGAAGGCACGGCCTATGCCTCCACCAGCAGCGCCACCTGGAGATGAAGAAGAAGATGTTCCAATGGAAGAGGAGCGAGCGCCTGAGTGCCTTTGACCGCCGGGATGGCTACGACGATCCTGTAATAGCAGGAAGTTCCTTCGCCTGAGGAAGTGGAAGCCCATGATGTTGCCAATCAGGCAGAGTACAGGGCAAGACAAGGGACTGGGGCCCGAAGACCCAGAGATGAAGGAAGCCTCCCAGCCCAGAACCCGAACGTGGCACGGGAGTCAAAGGAAGCAGTGCGAGGAGTTGCGTACTTCAGGGCCAGATATGGAAAGCCTGGAGAAAGTGGAGCTACCAGCTCCGGATCCCAACAACCCGGAACCTGGACTCGACTACCTGGGAATGAAAGGTGGAACCAAGCAGCAGCTCGAAGGCACCACCTCCGGAGTCACTGCCGAAAGCACGAGGAGGAGCAGCGCAAGCCACGAAAGGCAGAGGATTCGGAGAAGCGGAGATGATCCAGAAGTTGAAAATGGAGAAGAAGAAGGGGAGAATGGACCTCTGATAGGTGAGGCAATCGACCTCACAAAGGAGGATTTCGTGGATTGCATCTCGTCACCTCCAAGCAGCGGACTTTGCCCCTCTCTCAATCTGCATAGCAACTTTCCGAGATCGTGCTGTGTGCACAGTGGCGGGCCCACTTCTGACAACATTTTGAACATCCTCTCCTCTACCCAAGCTCCGCCAACGTGCTGCATCTTCAACGGCCTTCAGCACTGCTTGTGAACGTGCATATGCTGTGATCACGTGCATGAAAGTTGTGCTTGAAACTTCCAAACTCGCCCCATGTGCCGGCCGACTCGCTGAATGAGGCTACAACTCACATGGTGAAGTTTCTCTCCAAGCAGCTTTCATGCGTACGTCATACAGTTTTCGTCCTTCACGCGTGCATTACATTATATTTTGTTTTTGCTGCTGCTGCTGCTGCTGCTGCTGCTGCTGCTGCTGCTGCTGCTGCTGCTGCTGCTGCTTGTGCTGCTGCTGCTGCCGCCGCCTGTAGGCTTTGGTTTTCTTGGTCTAGGGTGTTGGGACTTCTAGAGGAGAACGGCTTTTGGCTTTCGTGGGCCATGTGGGCCCCAAGAGGAGTGATAAGCAGGCGGCTAAACCCGTACAGATGTTCACCAACCCTAGTAGAAGCAGTGGAAGAAGGGCGTGCCAAGCCCAAGACAGCAAAACGAGCGAAGAGCTACCAGTCAAGCAGCTCCAGCTCAACGAGCGGACCAACGACATGACGGGTGGGTTGTTTTGTTTTTCTGATTTGTGTCAGACACGTTTTGGGGTCCTCCTTGAACGAGCCACGCCACTAGCCTGAGCTGAGAGCTGTAGCTGCTCAAGTTTTTGCAGCAGGGTTCGCCCGGCCGTGTGCAAAGGAAGATGGTGCCTTCGCTGCAACAGTCACACGTTGCTGGCAACGAATGTTGCGTGATTTGTGTGCTGAATGCCTTGATTTGAGCTTAGCGAAGGTTGATGTTGACGAGAACGAGGACACGGTTTGGGGTTGAGGTTCGGGGTTTGCAGGTAATCGAGGCTATCTGGATATCAAGTTGCGGGGGGAGGCGGTGGACCAAAATTTCGCGTCAAGCGCCTAAGCACCTTTATTCGCATGTGTGCGCCTATGCGCACACGTGCCCATCCATATTCTGGAGTTTCGCACCAGCCTTCAAGCGTATAAGCGCCTTTAAGCGCCTGAAGTCGTTCTGTTTAGGCGCCTTAGGCACCTTCAAGCGTATAGGTGTATAAGCGCCTTCAACTTTAACCGCCTTTAAGCGCGCCTCTAGGCACCTGTTCTTCAGCGTTTTCAAGCGCCTTGAAGTCCCCATTGACAGCTTGTGAGCGCCTTTAAGCGCCATATAAAGGTTGAGAGGCTTAAAGAGATTTACGGAAAGAGACTAAGACGACCACAAAAATAGAGAAGTGTCCCAGCGGGATAGAGGCGTAGAGGCTTCAGAATGCTTAAAGAGGCTTAAAGAGCCTTAAAGAGGTGTGTCACAAAATAGAAGCTTCCACGTGAAAGAGGCTTAAAGGCTTGATGCGAAATAGGGAGCCGTGGGATATCAGGTTGCGGAACCGGGGCCCTCAGCACGGCGCGGCACAGCTCGGTGCGTGGTCATTCTGGGGGTTTGGCACGAAGACGGGGCCGTAATGACCCAGCCAAGGGACCAACAGATTGCCAAGGCACCCGTAGATGGAATCCCGTTTTGTCTGGCTTGTTGTTGGCATATACTTTGCACGTGCAGGCCAGGCACAACTGCTTTCTCCAGCACTTCCTCCCTCCCTTCTTTATTCCTAAGTTGCGCTCCCTCCATGTCCATGTCTATCTCTCTCACTGTCTCAGTCTTTCTCTCTGTCTCTGTGTCTCACTCTCTTTCTCTCTCTCTGTCTCTTTTCTCTCTCTCTGTCTCTCTCTCTCTCTCTCGGAGGATCTCTCTCTCTATGTCTCTCTCTCTCTCTCTCGGAGGCTCTCTCTCTCTGTCTCTTTGTCTGTCTGTCTGTCCGCCTGCCTGCCTGCCTGCCTGCCTGCCTGCCTGCCTGTCTGTCTGCTCTCTCTCTCTCTCTCTCTCTTTCCCGCTCTTTCCGCCTGTTTCCCTCTCTTTCCCTCTCTTTCCCTCTCTTTCCCTCTCTTTCCCTCTCTTTCCCTCTCTTTCCATCTCTTTCCCTCTCTTTCCCTTTCTTTCCCTCTCTGCCTCTGTCCCTCCCTCTGTAGCTATGTGCCATGTGAACTTCTAGGGCATCTATATCCATATCTACGGAATCTTGATGGAAGGCTGCTGGCCCTTCGGTGGCGCCTTCAAGGGACAGGGAGGTGTTGCTGCTTGCGATGAGCGGGATGGAAGCGCCTTTGCAGCCAATACTTGTTTCAGAGTGCTGGCAGGATGCGCTGGACTGATGGCATACTTAGGTGCAGCGCATCAGGTACAATGATCTCAGCACCCAACCGGATGCTGTGATGCACATGCGATCGGAGCTTGCCAACACGCCTCGTGGCTGCACTGTTCTATCCGAAAGGAGCCAATTGCATGCAACAAAACGCTACGCTTCATGTTCTCATGTTTTCCTGCAAACTTTGCACTGCCGAGGCGCACCTGCAGCCCTTTCCAGATTCACCTGGTCAGTGATGATGGAGACCTGCCATTCCGACCAACTTGCTGGGATGAACTGGGGTGCCCCCAGTGGTTGCAGATGGTGCAGGCACAGCGTACAAGGTCCTGCTGGCCCAAGTGCTAGTATGGATGTTGGCCTTGAATTGCACACTATCCTGTGCCGTATTCAGAAGACCATTGCAGAGTGGCGATGTCTAGTTTTCGATGTGCTGCATTGCGTATCAGGTGCAGGGGCACAACGAGAACGATGCCGAGTTGTGCAAGGCTGCCACGACCGGGAATGTGGCCGAAGTGGAGGACAGCATCGCACTTAGCAGCAACTTCTTTGTGTGAGTGGCCCGCAGAGAATCACGCGGAGTGCCCTCCTCCCCCCCACCCAGAACAGCCTGCAAAGAACACAACCCTGGGGAGCGCCATTCTTCAGAAAAGCCCGCAGAGAGTCCCGCCGAGTATGCAAAGAATCCCGCCGAGTGGCCCAAGCCAGCAGAGAGATCCGTGAGTGTTTTCAGAGAGATCCACCCCAGAGGCCCACAGGGCTCCCACCGATGATTATCTCGGGAGTGCCCAACCTCAGAGAATTTTGCGGAGAGTGAAGTATCCGTAGCTACCTGTCCGAAGTTTGGCTTTGTTGTGTTTGTTTATTTGAAGCAGCTTTTCTGTGCACGGTTGTCGAAGTTATTCTTTGCGATACGGACCCCCCCTAGAAGGTTGGGCTTGCTTGAGAGTTTACATTGTCTTATGGGGACGAGCGAAATGCTCGTGCTTGCATCCACCACAGTCGCTGCGACCTGTTGTAAGCTGCGAGCAGCATGGAACTCTTGAACTTTCCCTAGAGTCCCAGTCACGAAGCGTAGCCCGACTCTATCCGCTTGGCAGGACCTTCTGCTCAGGAGTCAAAATCCGAACGGTTGGTACTGCTGGCCGCTCCGCAACGCTGTGCATGCCGGACATGCGGAGGTTGTACGACTGTTGTTGAGGGCCGGTGCCCGGCCCGGCTCACCCCGCGAGCACAGTGAGGACAAGACCTTGCTGCACTGGGCCGCAGCTTTGGAGGATCCGAGCATCGCCCGTGAGCTGGTAAGAGCTCGGATCGACGTCTCCGAGAAGGATCGGTCCGACTTCGACCTCTTGCGTCTCTTGCGTCATCGTAATGCTCCTGACACTGCAGGGACGCCATTGCACGTGGCCATCCGCTATGGCCGAGCTGCGACGGTGATGCTCTTGCTCGAGGCGGGGGCGGACGTGAACCTGAGCGTGAATGGCAGGACGCCCCTGGGCGAGGCTGTGGTGCAGGGCTCGCTGGCGCTCGTCCAGCGCCTGGTTGAGGCTGGCGCCGATGTCTCTTTTGGCCTCCTCCAGGTGGCTCAGCAGTACGGGCGCCATGACGTCCTGTGCTACCTTGTTGCCTCGCTTCAGCAGCTCGGGCAGCTTAGCGCAGGCTCGGCCTGGCTTGTTTTGGGTATTGGCTTGTTGTGTTAGGTCGTTCTATTCTTCTGAGGCTTCGCGACTTCGGTGCAAAGAAACCTTGCCACGCAGGTAGGGCCGCGGACCTCATCGCCGCTGTTCCGGAGTGTGAGAGAGATGGTTTTGCCCTTGGCCAATAATCAGGCCGATGGGCTCCGAATGGGCCAGGCAAGTGATTTCTGAGATGGACTCCAATCGGTTCAGCCTGATTTTTTCAGTGTTGGGCCTTTTTGGGGTTGCTGCATAGACTCAGACCTCTCAACTGTACAGTGTCCAGCATGCCTGCGCGCGGAGAATGTGGCGTGGAAATCCCTTTCAACTGATTCCGGGCCACTGGGGTCGGGCAAGTTCGACAATGTTGAAACCCTCAGCCATGGTGTTCCCAATGGTTCTCACCTTCGTTCTCCAGGCCTCTGCTTGTTTATGACCGTTTCATGTTCTGGGCTTCACAGTGGCTTATAGCAAGGCTTGCTCTGATGCCTTGAGGCAATGGGTGAGAACGCCCCTGGACTGTGGTCGAGGCCCTAGGCAGCATATGTGCACACCCTATGCAGAGCGGTTTGGTCTTTCTACAAACGGTTGAAGTACATCAACAAACTCTCTTGTTGCCTTTTGCGCGCATCGTGCTGGAACCTTCGCTGCGCATGGCGGACACTTACGCAGTTTCCAAGCAGAGCAACAACAATTCCGCAAGCTCCCTGAACCTTTGCGATTTGCGAACTTCATGGTAAACCCAACTCCGAGCCTCGTCGGGACAACTGCCTGCGAGCTTGGCCTCCTTGGGATTTGCCGAAGCAGCGATCTCACAAATTTGACTGCGTGTCTCGGTGTGTGTGTGTGTGCTTCTGGCAACTGCCTTGCCTTCGCATTCACGGAGCTTCGCGTAGATGAAGCCCAGGCCAGAGCTGGAGGTGGACCTGCCATTCGCAGATGGGAAGCCGTCAGTGGTGGTCGCTGGCCTAAGTTGCACCAAGATGTGCCTGCAAGAAGGCCTTCGGAACTATGTGCTGCGACAGAAGCTAGATACTAGATTTCGGTCCTGTCTTACTTCTAGTGTGGCGATCATAATGCAGTATCGTAGGCTGGCGCACAAAAGAATCGGACCAACCCGGACTTCCACTAAGGTGCTGTACTTCTTGGGACCGGTCCCGGCAGGCCTGGACTTGTACTTGCCAAACATGGTGTAAGTTATACAGTATGTCCTTTGCTAAATCGTAGGCTGCACTTGGTATATGATTATATGATGTATACTGAATGATGACTATGATGTCGCTTTGATTATATGGTAGACTCTCATGTTCTGAACAGCGCCACTGTCTTCGCCGCTTCGCCGTGTTAGATGGCCTTTACATGGCACATGTTCTTATCCGTGGTGGTTGTATTTTCATACTACGAACCATGTTGGCCGCATACAGTACATGTTTCAACAGATGCTTGTGCAGGAGTTCAGTCTTTGGAGAGCCTCTTGAGGCCAGGACTTGTGCA